AGAGAGAGAGAGAGAGAGAGAGAGCACGGGGGAAGTAGACGCACAGATCTGCGCGATCCAGCAGCTCGATCATGGACCCCAGGCTAGGATGCAGCAAGCGCAGGATCTTCGCATGGTGAACTACCCTGCGCAGATCATCCACCGAGTAGCCCTCCGTAAAGATGGCCGGCGGGATGTGCGGGATCGATTTGCTGTCCAGAGACGCCAGCGACTGGTGCTCGAAGTCCAGGCTGCAAATGGTCCCCCGCTTCGAACGCATCGAGGGGTTCAGGTAGTCCGCCAGTTCCACGAAGTCCTGGATGAAGTGCGTCAATGGGTCCACCGGAATTTCCCTGTGCAGGGTCCGAAGGGTGGGCAGCATGGACTTGGGGACCGGGGCCCGGGCTTGTGCCAGCGGGTGGTCTGGATTGGCCAGCAGCCTCAAGGTATCCAGGCATCGCGTGCCGAGAGTATCCAGTGCCGACACCACCTTCGCCGACCAAGACTGAGAGAGGGTCAGCTCCCGCAGGCGTTGTTGTCCGATGGCTGTGGCATCCATCAGCATCTGATCCGTCAGGCGAATGGCCAGCTTCAGGGGATGAGAGGGGCTCTTGGTGTCCGCGGCGAGGGGGGCAGTCCCGGCCGCGGCGGTCATGAGGTTATCCACATGCTGCAGGCAGGCAAAGCGCCGACTACTCGGGCAGAACACCGCCGAGTGGAAGCAAAGGGAGCTTTTCAACGGGCGCCCCAAGGCGGAGGTCAAAAAAAGGAGGGGAGAGGTGGATTGAGAGTAGAGAGAGGGAGAGAGAGGGAGAGAGAGCGGATGAGGGAAGGGTGGTGGGGGGCCCCCGGTCAGACGGCAGCATTGATAGCATACACACACACACACACATAAAAAAGGGGACAGGGAGGAGTAACACGGAAAGGGAAAGAGAGAGAGAGAGAGAGACAAGCGAAGCACGACGGGGGAAAGGGGGCTTTGCGCACAGGCAGAAATGGCAATGGGGGTCCTCGCCGAGAGCGGAGGTCGGGGCGATAAGCGTGGCCGGGAGGCCCTTCTGCGGATCCGGCGCCGGACAGAACGTCGGATCTAGCCCACTCAAAGAGACCAACTCAAGTCCCTGGGCAAGGAGGGCCCGGCGCCGGGTGATCTCCTGGGTTTGGGTTTTCTCGAAATCGCGCACGAGGCTGTGCACACGGTACCATGGATCGCAGATGCAAGGCAGCTGGTGAGGATCATCAGCCGTTTGACCGGCAGCAGGCGCAGAGGGAAGGCCACATGCAGACGCACAATTCATACGACGAAAGGGACCGACCCATGGCCGACGACAGGAGGCCAAAGTACGTGAGCCGGTCCTGCGAGAAAACCGGCGGGATCTTGAAGAAGCTGTACTTTTCCTGGCATTCGCGACCGAAGGGGGCCCAGTCGGGAGGCAGGAAATTCACCGCCTCCGCAACATTGAACCCCTGGTTGAAGCCGGAGTGGTAGGCCCGCGGCAGGGTCACGATGAATTCCCCCGGACGCTGGTGCGCGTAGGACACTTGCACGCCATTTTCCCGCAAGACCGATGGGCTCAGGATGGACACCAGGTCGAAGAGCTGGTTCGGGTTCTTGTTGAAGACCTCCGGCGACTCTTGCTTCATCAGGCGTTCGAACACTGGGTGCGGGGGGTGGGCTTGCGTCAGTCCAGTTGCACGGGAGGGGGGGGGGTCTCGCGCGCGTCGCACGTGTGCACAAATCGCGCATATAGGCAGGTGTGTGTGTGTGTGTGTGTGTGTGTTTGCCGATGTATCCACGGGCGAGGTGCGAGGGGAGGGGGGGGGGGGGGGGGGGCAGCAGGCGCAGGTGGGGAGGAAGATGAAAAAGAGGAGCAATGACCGAGCAAACGCACTCAGCGCATCCGAGGAGGGAATGCCATACCAGGTTTTGGTGGCGCCGAAGTGATTGAAATTGATCGAATAGGCATCATGGTCCTCGGTGTGCCAGCAGAAGGCCGAGAAAAGCATGCCGATGTAGACCCAAGGCTGGGTGACGCCGGAAATGTGCCTGCACATGGTCGTGCCCATGGCGCCCAGGGGACAGTGCAGGCGGGAGAATGGACACCAGGTGAGGAGGACCAGTCAGTCGACTGCCAGGGAGGGCTGGGCACGCTTTTCCGTCTTTTTTTTTTTGCCATAATCAAAAAACACGATTGTGTACCCATTGAGATAACGCAGCAGGGAGCCCTTCTGGGTGGAAAAGCCCGCGATGTCCCATGGGATGGGATCCGGATTGGCGGGGCCCGGCTCCGGCAGTTCAAAGTCAGCGCCATACTCCACTTCCAGGAAGCCATCCGAGTCGCCGACATGCGACCAAAACTCCGTTTCCAACAGCGCCGGGTCAGCCTCGATGGCAGTCTGCTCGATTTTGTGCTGCGTCGGCGCGAAGACCACCAAGGGCAAGAGGAGACGGTAGGGAGAAGGAGAAGAGGAGCAGGAGGGATGGAAAGAAGAAAGATCAGCGAGGGAAACAATGCAGCAGGCTAGTGGAGGCATCAAGTCGACATGGGCACGATTCTCCACCCCCCCCCCCCTGGTTCTCGGCCGCGTGGTCACTCCGCCCTTCCCTGGGAGGATGGACGGGTGTGAAGCGATGCCGGACGAGCGGGGAAGGGTCGCACCATGCGAAGGTAATTCCTCATGAAGTTCTCCGAAAAGCGTTGGAACCTCTCCAGAGTATAGTTCGACCCCTCGAGGAACCCAAAGGGACTGTCTGTACGGCCGTCGCATGGGCAGCCAGAGGATGGGCGCCAGATTGATCGTCGGGGAGGGAGGATGTGGTCAATGCGAAAGGCGAGCCAGGGAGGCGTAGATGGGAGATGAGGACACAGGGGGGGGGGGATGGAAACCGGCACATACCCGGGCGTTTCAGGCACAGGGGACAAGACCAATCATGGGAAACGACGATCGGAGTGCTGCGGTTCGGCCCGGAGAACTGATACTCATCTGGCAGGGAGGACCCAACAGCCAGCAGACAGCCGGCATGGTAGCGCTGCTTGCAATCGAAGCACTCGACCTGCCGGGAATCCGGGAACACCAGGAGATCGGAATTCAAATCGTGGCTGACATCGACGACGACCTTCGGACGCTTGGATGACCGCGAGTTGCTGCCCAGGGGGTCGCTCGACGAGGAAGCCAGCAGCCCATGCAAACAAAGAGCCCGCGGCCGGGTCAGGGGAAACTGGCGCGGATGATGCAGCAGCCCGGCCTTCAGCCGGAATGTGGATTGACACAGGCTGCAGGTCTTGTCGAGAATGGGACTGCCGGTCGAGGAGCCGGACCCGGGAGACCCCGATTTGATGACGCCAGACGTGGCAGCCGGGCTGGCGGCTGCGACTCCGGCCCCCTCAGCGGCTAGCAGATCCTTGGTGGCGGACAGATAATAGAGGAACGGAGAAATCCAGGTCTCATGAATGTTATATGCGTGCTGCATGATCACCAGGAGTTCCTCCGCCCCTTGCATGTTGTCCGGCGTGGTGGGCGGGACCAGGCGCGATGCGACATTATGCCAAGCCGAGTGGCGGATGGGCTGGAGAATGAGCACGCCAGGGGACAGTCCAAGCGGGAGGGGGTTTCCCGCCGCGCCGGCCCCCGGAGAAGGGACACGCATATCACACGCAGTGAGCACATAAGCGCACGCAAAGAGAGAGAGAGAGAGAGAGGGAGACAGAGGATGAGAGAAGAAAGGCGAGCGGAGGCAAAGGGAGGAGGAGCAGACGGAGGGAGCAGAGAAGCCAGGCAGCAGGGCGCCGGCCGGCCGCCAGCGCCATCGAGAGTGTATGCACCTTGCCAAAGGCACCGAACTGCTCGACCAGCGAATGGAGTGTCCACAGGTCGATGGTCACATTGCAGCTGGGGATCCGCACAGACACCGGGCATTGGGGCCGGCTGAATGCACAAAAGTAGACATCCGCGCTGCGGGGATCCTGGGTCCGATCCACAGTCAAGCCCCCCTGCAGGAGGGTGGAATGGTCGGACTGGGAGAAGCTGAATCGCTGGGCATGGCCGCACAGCGGCGCATCCGGCTGGAGATACTGCCGCGAGATGCACAGATGCGTGCCATTGTACCAGTAGTCGCGAATTGCCTGAAAGAAGAGGTTGCGCGCGCGAAAGCGGATGTTCAGCATGCTGAGTGTCTGCTTGCGCGTCAAGAAGGTCTGTAAATGTGTGTGTGTGTGTGTGCGAGAGAGAGAGAGAAGGGGCACGGGAAAGAAAGGGAGAAAGAGTCAGTGTGTGTGTGTGTGTGTGTGTGTGTGTGTGTGTGTGCGTGTGTGTGTGTGTGTGTGCGTGTGTGTGGACATCTGGCGGTTGTCGGGATAGCGACAGACGGTGCGGACAAAGTGTCCCCCGCTGTCGACACAACAGTCGCACCGTCTTGAACAGGCGGCCCAGCAGGCGACTGCTCGGGGTCGGCACCAGCTTCCCATTGTGCATGGTGCTCAGCCGGGACAGCTCTTCGAGCGGCAGCGATGACGGGGCGAACTTGGCCGTCCACTCCGGCGGGGGGACGATCTTCAGGATGCCAGCTCGCAGGACCGTCGGGTCCTGGCGAATGGAGTCAATGTAGGCCAGCGGGTCTTGAAAGTCCTCCATGGCGGGGAAGAATTCCGGGGCCTTAAAGCAGTTGAAGGGCCCGCTGCCGAGATTCGACCGGTCCGACGGGGTGGCATGCGTGACTTCGGCCGTCGACCGGGTGTGGTCGCTGGATGGCTCGCCAAAGTGCGACACACGCGTGCGTCGCCGACGTCTAACCGACGTGTCGGTCACGGATGGCATCTGTCGGCTGGATTTGGAACCCGGTGAAGTGACCATCCACCCGGAGGTTGTGGTGGCCACGGGCGCGGAGAGGGGTGAGGGCCGGACCGGAGAGGAACTGCGGGCGGGGGCGGGGAAAGGGGGAGAGAGAGAGAGAGAGAAAGCGGAGGGAGGAGGGAAGAAAAGGCGGGCCAGCCAAGATGAGAGGGGGGATGGAGGGAGGCTGGCGGGTTCTTCAGTTCTCGGAGCAGGGCCGTGTCGCCATTTGGATTTTACTGGTTGTCCACCTGCCAGTGCCCGGGAGGGGGGGGGGGGGAGAGAGGGGAATGGCACGCAATTTCCATGGCGTCCCTGACCCAAGGCGTAGGCGGGCCCGCACACACACACACACACCCGTACCTGGACATTGACGCGCACATTCACAAGTGCGCGCGTGCGCGCGCGCGCGTGTGTGTGCACATGTGCCCCCAGGTCGAGCGAGGCTCAAGCACAAAGGGGGCAGATCCCCGGCCGGACAACGGACAGCCCGAGGCCGTGGTGCGGCCACAGGCGCCCTCGGCCCTGCCTGGGGGTGATCGTCCAGCACGCAGCAGCCACAGGTGCCGGCGCATGGGTGCGCCGGTGTCTCCCGTGGCGAGGAGGTGCAACCCCCCCGTCGCCATGCCGGGAGGGGGGCGGAGGGGGAGGCGGGCATTCTGAAAGGCCTCCCTGGGGAAGGGGCTCCCGTCGTGCCAGCCAACCTGGCCCGATGCACGCCAGTTCGGTGGCGACGGAGAGGAGACATGAGGTCCTCCTCGCCCTCTGCCAGATGGCGTTCTTTCCCGGTTTTTCCCCCCCCTTGCCCTTCCCCTTGGCGAGTCTCCCCCCCCCCCCGCCCCCGCCCTCCACGGTTAGGGTGCCCCCTCCCTCTGTGGAGAGGCCGCCAGTGCCGGGTGCATCTGAGGCGCGCCCACACGGTCTCTCCGGCTCGGCCACCGACAAGAGGAGACAAGAGGACGCCCACACAAGCCCGGCCGATGCACACACACGCACACACACGAAAGTCCCCCCCCCCCCTCCTCCCCCACACCCTGGCGAACGCCGGCACAGGCGTGTCCCAGGCACATGCCAGCCGCCTCCGCTCAGGGTCCATAGCAGGCGCGAGTCCACGACACCGAGGGCGCGGGGCCGGGGCAATCGTAGTGGCCCGCCGGCTGGGAACTCGGAACTGTCAAAAACAAAAAAAAAAACAGAGCCACCCGCACAAAGCAGCACCAGTGAGTCCCCGGTTCCGCGAGTCCAGCGGCGCCGGCCAAGCCCCAAGGCCCCGCTGGCCGCAACCCCCGCCGCCCCATGTCAGACCCCTCTCACCGAGCGTCCAATCACTGGCACCTGGGCCGCTGGCTGGAAGGCCAGAACGCCCCAGAGCGACCGCCCACGGCAGGGATGGATCACGCGACCGCATCACACGGCGACACCCTCTCCAGAACGATCGATGTTACATCGGCATCTAGTCCTCGGCGGGTTATGGGGAAGTATGCTCCGGTGGACGCGCGCGTGGGCACACGATGTGCCGTAGCTACGCTCGCCACGCCTGTCTCCCGCCCCCCCCCCCCCCCCCCCCCGAGCCAGCGTGTGTCTGGGGAAGACACTTGCGCCAGGCGGGGGGGGGGGGCCAAAGAGAGGCCGAGGACAAGGACATGGACATGGGGCTCGTGTCCCGGCGGGGGATGATATGTGCGCATGGCCATGTCTCTGTGGCTTCCCCACGCACGAAGATGGCTCGGGGAGATCCTCTCCCCGCCCGCCTGCCCGCCCGCCGACTCCCCTCCCGTCTCAGGATCCAGCACTGGCGGCCGCCCTTCGCCAGTGGGAGCAGGCCCGAGCCCCAGCCAGGCAGGACAAAACGCCGGCCATCCCAGGGCCATCCCCATGTGGGGAGTATGGACAGTACCCCTCCTCGACTCCCCCCCCCCCTGCCTCCCCTCTTGATGTTGCTCTCTCCCCTCCTCTGCGCCTTCCTCAACCTCGACCTCTGCCCTTCTCGCTCCTTCCACTCTTCCCGCTCCTTGTGTCGGTTGCCAGCGTCCACCCCTCGCGCTTGCCTGGCCGACGCAGCGCGCCTCGCACCCCCTCCGCTGTGGGCGGCCGGCTGCGTCTGCTGCTCGAGCCGCGCGCGCTCCCCTCCCCCCCCATCGCCATCTCTCCGAGCCATCTGCCCCTCTGCCTGTCCCTGTTCCCGTAGCCACCACAGCCAGGGCCAAGAAGGGCCGGCGCCGATGGCTCTCCGCCACCGTCGCCGTTGCCGTCGCCGCTGCCACTGCCTCAGCCACCGCCGTCGTTGTCACTGCCATGATCCCCCGGGCCCTTGTGCGTGACTACGCCTATCGGGAGGTGCTTGGCCGGCTGGCACTGCGGCATTCACCCTCGCACGTGCGCCACTCGCCGAAAGTCGTGTCCGATACCCGGTCCTTGGGCATGCAGCTGCTGATAAGCCGGCGACTCCGGGGCCGGGAGCCGTCACATGCTGATTCCGGGTCCCTGGCCCCTGCTGGCGCCGCCGCTGGTCGGCGCCGGCCCCTGCTTTGGTCCTACTGGCAAGTGGAGAAGTGCAACATCTCCGCCAGCGAGGTGCTGGCCCGGCTCTGCGCACATCTTGGCTCGCGCCCGGACTGGGACCCCTGCGCCATGACCGCCCACTCGGCTCTCCCATCGCGAGAGGACGTGGCCGCATCCTCCCCGGCCGGGGGCCCCGCCCGGCAGTCGCTCGATCATCTGTCCCTGCTGGAATCCGATGAGCTCGCCCACCCCGGGCGGGTATTGCGCTCGGTGTCCACCGGCTCAGGCTGCCAGGAGCTGTGCCCTACTGTCGGGTCCCGGCAGCCGGCCCCGCCGGCCCTGCAAGTCCGCTGCCCGATGCTGTATGCCGATGTCACCGAAAGCTGGGGCTGCTTCCATGTGTCCATCCTCCATCCCTCCTTCGAGCATGCCCTCGCCTGCCCGGAGTCCTTTGTCTTCGGGGATCTGTACGGCGTGCCTCCTTCCTTCCTTCCCCCCCCCCCCCCCCCCCCCCGCCCTGCCCTGTCTCTCCTTCCCCCTCCCCGGGCCCTCACGCACCGGGAGCGCCTTCATGCGACTTCATGTCTCACCTCCTCCTCCTCCTATCCTCTCTCTCCCTCCCTCCCTCCCACCCGCGTGGCGACAGGAACACCCTGCCGACCTTGCGCGCAGGCCTCGGCCGGGTGTCCAATCCCCGGTCCGGGGCCGAGCTCGAGGCCATCCTCGAGGGCAAACACCACGGCCCCAAGGCCCCGCGCCAAAGCGAACCCTGGATGGAGGAGCAGGTGGAGCCGCTTTTTCATGCTCGACACCAGGAGACCGCGGTGGCCTTCGCGGCCCGGAGGCTGGGCTTCAGTGACCGTGGGCTTACGGCAAACCAAATCCGGCATGTGTCCTACCGGGTGACGGCGCGGGGCATTCGCGCGCCGGGGCTCATGGAGTTCGACAAGAATGCCGGGCTCCGGTCGGACGCCCTGCTACAGACGGTGGCCAAGAACATCCGCGACCTGTCGACTGCCTTTGCCCCTCCGGATGAGGGCCATGTTGCGGCCTTGTGCTCCGAAGCCGGCCCACGGCCCGTGGACCGGTCCTTTCACATGCGCCATCAGGCCCCGGCTCCGGCCGAGTGGACCACCACCTCTTGGCAGCTGGCCCATGGGCCCCTGGTCCCGGGGCCCTTTTCCCCGGACTTCTCCCAGGCCCTCACGACCGAATCGCTGCTCGAGGGCCGGTATGACCCGGTGATGGAGCAGCGCAATCGCGACCGGCTCCACCCCTCCCGGTGGATTCCCCCCGAGCGGGCGGTGCTTGTGCCGAACCTCTTTTCCGCGGCTTTAATCCAGCCACCGGGAGGCCCGGCCCCGGCCGGCGGCCGAGCCGGTCAGGTGGCCCCGCTTCCCACCCCCCCGGCCCCGAGCCCGAATCCGACAGCCACCTCACATCCACACGCCAAGCCACCTCCAAATAAGCATGCGCGCCAGCGGGCGCACTCGCCTGGCAGTGCCTCCGCCGCTTCCTCCACTCCCGGGGGAGCTTCCTCCCCGGGGAAGGGCGGCGCAGTGGGGGATTTTTGGCGCCAGCATCGGGCTGCCTGGCTGCCATCCTCGGCATGTGGAGCCCCGACTCCGGTTGCCCGGCGGCTGAACATGCTCCCCCATGGGGCCCGGCTGTCCTCCGAGGCGGGAAGCTCCATCCAAGCGGCGGCCCTGGTCCGGGGGGATTACTTCCATGCGGTGCGCGATGCCATGCTCGGCGACACGGCCTACCACCAGACCATCAGCCCGCCGATGGCGGACATCTTCCGGGCTGGGATCCTCTCTCGGCGCTTGGCGGCCCTCGGCCCGGCACCCTACTCCTCCTTCTCGCTGGTGGATCACATTCCCCCCTCTCCCGGGGACTCGTCACTTCGGGATCTGCTGGGCGAGTGCATCGCCCGGCATTGGGGCAATTGGCGGCGCGTGGCGTCGGAGTCTGTGCGCGTTGAGGGGGGGCTTTTTCGCGAGCTGCGCCCCTTTGCCCCCGGCGGGCCTGGGGATTTCGACGACGTTGCGGCTGCCATGGCCGAGCCCAGTGCCGGGCCTCATCGTGGCCCCCGCGCTCGTCGGCCGGCCACCCGAATCGGAAGCATGGCCTCCGGCAACTTCCAGCCCATGGTTCCGGAGGCGGTTCTCATGCCTCGGTCTTTGGATGCGAACAAGCGGCAAATCCTGAGCAATCTGCACATGCTGTCGGCCGAGCTGAGCCTCCCGTCGAATGTGCCCACACAGGAGCTCCAGCAGAGGGTCTTCCGCCAGGCGTATGATGCCATTCCCGGGCGCCTTCGGCGACAGCATCTCCAGGCTCTCGGGGCCGCGGTGTGGAATACCGCCGCGCAGCGTCTCGTCCGTCGACTGTTTCTGGATGGCACGCCATTGGCTGCCCCGGGTCCTTGGACCCCTGGCCCGGGGAGGAACTTCACCCCGGCCGTGGACCTGCCGGCGCTGGCGGAGCTTCTACGCCCGGAAGACCGGCCTCCGATCAGTCGGTCCCCGCCTCCGGCCCCGGATGGCGAGGCGCCAGTGGATGCCTGGTGCTGGGGGCTGCTGGAATTCGGGCACGCCGGGCCGCATGCCATTCGCTCGTACCGGGGGTTGGTCTTGACGCCGACAATCGAGCGTGTGGCCAGCCTCCTGCCGCCGCTGGTTCCCTGGGCCGATGGCCCGCCGCCTGCCGACTGCCTGCCCTTGCCGGCCCCCACGGCGCCCTTCTACCTGCCCGGGCCTCCGGGCGTGGGGGAGGAGCTTCGGCCGTCGTCGGCGCTGGCCGCCGCCGCGCGGCTGGAGTTCATCGAGAGATGCAAACATGCGGTGGCCTTCCTGCTGTCGTTGCGTGCTCCAACCCCGGGGTCCGGCATCGGCCAGGCCCTGGCGGCCTTGGCTGCGGACTCGCCAGCCCACCTGCCGGATCAGCTGCCAGACCACCCGGATGACGGTGCCGGTGCCGGTGCCGGTGCCGGTGCCGGCGCCGGCGCCTGGGATGCGGCCATCCATGCGGACTTGGTGGACGAGCTTCGTGTACGTGTCGCATGTGTGCATGCACATCTGCGGGCTTGCCTCCGACCTCCCTCGCGCGTCTGCTCCATTTCCCTGCCCGATGCTGACTTTGCCGATGTCTGGATTCGCCCCCCCCCCCCTCCCGCCGTCTGTAGATCGCCGGGCTCAACCACATCGACCAATTGGATGCCACGATGCAGCAGCACCTGCTGTCAGATCCCACCTTTGATCCGCTGGTGTCGATACCGCGGCCGCTTTTTGTTGAGGCTCGAAATCTACGTGTGGCCGCCGCGCCGGCCATCGTCGATGGGTCGCTGAGCAACGCGGCTGGCAGCCGCCTGGCCACGCCGCTCTTTGCCGAGGACAGCGCCATCAGCCCTTTCGACTTTGATGTGACCTTCAGCTTTGATGTTCCAGCCGAGGCTGATCCCCTTGCCGTGGTGCATCCCCTGCTGGCCGGCCTGCTGGCCGAAAGCTTCCCGCCGTTCATCAACCACCGGCGCACGGCGGGGCGCCAGCGTGCGCGCCCAATCGTGGAAGCCCCCCCGGCCGAGCCCTTGCCATCCGCCGACTCGCCGGATGCCTGCCAGGGGAGCAGCAGCTCCGATGAGCCATCACCCTCGGCCGGTCAGTTCAGCACTCGACGTCGACACTCTCGGGCCGTCCGTTAGTCAGCCTCCCGCTCCTCGCGTCCCGCCCCCCCCCCCCCTATTCTTCATTTTACCCGATTGGGCCCCTTTTAGAGGCAATGCTTTCCGTCAGCCGCACAGGGCGACGCAAGCGACGCCACCTCCCCCTGCCCCCATCCCCGCCCCCTCCCTCTCTCTCTCTCTCTCCTTCTTTCTCCCCCCTCCCCCTTGACCCCTCCCCGCCCTGGGCCCTTGTCTCCTCATCCTGCGGTCGGTCGACCTGAAGCGCTTGTCCTTTTTTTCCCCCTCTGCGCTTCGTAGACTTAGATCGGCCGCACCGACAGGCCCGGGGCCTGTCCTTGTGAAAGCGCTACCCCCGCTGCCTCGGGAATACACTGAATGTATGTTGATGCTGCCCTTTGCTTGCTCTGGCTCCTGGGACCGGGAAGCGATCTCCATGGGGAGAAAAGCGTGTGCATGTGTGTGTGTGTGTCTGCGGTTTATTCAAGAAGGGCGCCAAGGGTCCGCCAGTCGTGCCACAGGGCCCGGGCCTCGGCTGAGCCGGAGTGCGCGTCAATCAGAGCATTGGCAAAGAGGCCGCTCTCGGAGTCCAGTGCAAGGGCAGCAGCAGCTAGAGCCTGGGCTTCGCGCTGCAGGAGGACCTCGACCCCATCCGGTGGTAGGCCGTCGGCTCCCGACGCCGGGGCACCATCCTCGGAAGCTCGGGAAGCCGCGCGGCCGATGGAATTCAAAAGGACTTCGCTCAGCCGGAGCATCAGCCCACCTATGTGCCCCAGCGAGCGTGTTAGTGGAAAGGGGAGAGAGAGAGAGGGAGGGAGAGAGAGAGTGAGAGGACGGATCGATGATGTGCACATGCGTGCCGGCGTGCGTGTGGCAGGAAAGGGCCACATGAATGAGGGGTCGGGTGGGAGCCTGAGGCGGGTCATACGCACCCTGATAGACGCTGGGCAGGTCGGCCGGGTCGACACGATCTCCGACAAAGCGGGCTACCTTGGCCAGGCGGTCTGAGGAGAGCCGGAGCTGCTCCAGCAGCTGGCGCGCCTCGGCCGCCCCCTCGGTGGACTTTTGGAGATAGCCGCCCGCCTGCTGGGAGAGGGCCAGTGGCCAGCCGAAGCGCGAATACCGGGATCGGTGCTCCGGCAGGGCGGTGTCCGGGCCCAGTTGCTCCGGCCGCAGGAGCAGGATGTCTGTCGATTCGGTCGGGCACACCGACGCCGGGCCCAGGCGGCCACAGACGCAGCCCTCCGCGGCCGGACAGTCGTGCTCGGCCGACTCGGCTCGGAGGCCGAGCAGGACCGAATCCTCCCCAGAGGTGTAGCGGGCCTGGAAGAGGCCGTCAGAGTGGGCGCTGGCCGTGATGTCCGATGTGTGGGTGGTGTGGCCCCATGCGTGGCGGCTGGCCAGCGTTTCGGCATACAGCGGCGACCGGGACTCCTCGTAGCCGGTGCTTTGGTAGAAGAGCCGGTCGGCCGGGCTGGTCCCGGCGATCGAGGCACCCACCAGGTCCAGCAATTGCCCGGCAGCCTGGGCATCCTGGTCGGTGGCCGGCAGGTGGGAAATTTGCCGGAAGAGGGCCTGCTGGAAGTGCGACAAGCGCGGGCGCTCCGGGAAGGCTGCCCCATCGAGGCGCGCAAGCAGCAGCGATGCATTCGAGAGGCTTGTGGCCGCGCGGAGCAGGGCTCCTCGCATCTGGTCCATGTCGATGCGGGCCTTGTCGGCAGTGGTGGTGGCCAGCCCGGCAAGCGAGGTTGCCATGTTTCTCTCCTTTACTCGGGGTCCAACCCGAGAGGCACCAGGGGGCGAGGCGTGTGAACGAGGAACACGCCACGTGTTTTTGTGTGTGTTGTGGTTGAGTTCTTGGGGTTGGGGGGGGCAAGGAAAGATCAGGGATCGGAGAAGACGCCATGAGGAGCCTGAGACGCTCAGCATCCTTGGGCGGGGGACGGGAAAAATACATGCACGGGGCAGATCCCTCTCGGCTGCTGGCCAGGGCCGGCGTCGGCGCCGGGCCGAGCCTGATGCTTTCTTCACGCGCACACGCGCAGCCCATACTCCCAGGGGCGGGGGAGGCGATCTGGCTCGGGGAGGTGCCCAGGGCGGGGCGCATGCGCCGGTCCACCACACACCGGACGGGGCAGCGTGGAGCCCGATCCTTGCCGCCCCCTCAGAGACACATTCGAACACGCAGGCGGGGCGGGCTTGTCCGAAGTGCCAACGAAGTGGGCGCAGGGGCGTTCCTTTGGACATCGGACCCCGTTCCCTCGAGAGTTGCCGGGCGCAAGGGAGCGACCGGAGGAGGCGAAGGAGGCGTAAAGCCGAGAGAGAGAGAGAAAGAGAAAAGCCCGCACTCACCCGCCGCCCTCCGGAGACCGGGCGAGTTCAGCGTCTCGCATGGGGAGGAGAAGATGATTGAGAAACAAATTGTATTGCGCGCAAGCCTCCCTCTCTCTCTGACACACAGAGAAAGAGGGCAGGAGAGGACGGAAGGTCTTGCACATGGCAGACACGCACAGGCGACATCCGCCTCGCCCTTCCTCCTTCCCTCACACATTGGGGCCCTGGCCCTTTCCAACATTCGGGAAGGGGCGCGTGGGCATGCACACATAGAAACTGGCTGGCGGAAAGACCAGGGCAAGGAGGGAGGGTGGAGGGGGGGGGGGGGGGGGGGGGATGAAAAACAAGGACATTCAGACGGAGGAGGAGGGGGCCGAGTGTGAGCGCGAGCCCGGGCGGGGAAATTGCCGCAGGGCCACGCACGCAGCCGGCCGAGCGGCGCGCGCCCTCCCGGAGGGTGGGGATTTTCCCCGTGCCATCACAAAAAGCAACGGCGATCCACACAACAGAAGGGATGAGAAGGGGGAGAGCAGAAAAGGACCGCGTCGAACCATACAGTGGAAGGACAAAGAGAGAAGGAGAGAGAGAGAGGGGGGGGGGAGGGGGAGGGAGAGAGGGAGAGGCGGGCGGGAGGCAGGGCGTGGCCGCCTCTGGAAGTGCCTGGCGGCGACGTGGTACACATCTAGCCGCACGCACACCGACACGCGGGCGCCCTGTGCCCTGCACAAGACCACATGAGCATGGCGATGTGCGCCCCGCCCCTGCGCCCCGCCCCTTTGTCGAGTGAACGGGACATGGTGCCCTAGGAGGCGGGGAAGATACTGCCCACGTCACGCGAGTCATCAGGCCCGAGATCCGTGTCGCTAAGGCGGCGGAAGCGATGGCCCAGCCGGGGACTGGCTGCGGGGGACTGCGCGGGCTGCTGCTGCTGCTGCTGCTGCTGCCCGGCGGCCTGCGAAGAGGCGGCCGATGTCGGGGTCATCGGAATGTCTTCGGGGACTTGGCTGTCGCCGGCGGGGGCCGCATCGTCGCTGTCCTCGGCCGGATCGAGGCTCGGCTGCGACTGCATGCTGAGGGAGGTCTGGGCGGTGATGGTGATCGACCCGTAGGACGGGTGGCTGACATAGGAGGGATGCTGGTGGAGGCTGGTCGGCTTGCTGCCGCCGGGCCCGTGGCCCGCCGCGCGACAAGACGCGCACAGGAGCTTGTTGTCCAGAACAGACTCGATGTCGGCGATGTACTGCCCGCAGGAACGGCACGACCGCGACAGCAGGGAGTCGGTGATGGACGCGGAGAAGTCCAAGCCCGTGGCCGGGCCGCCGGCAGTCCCACCGGCGGCCACCAGGTCCCCATCAGCGGTGTTGATCCCGCCGACCGCCTGGGCCAGGGACCCATGGGCCGGCGAGGCGCCGGCGCCGCCATCAGGAGAGGGGGAGAATTCGTCCGAGGGGGACCCCTCGGCCGAGTGGGCGTTCAGCGGCTGCGTGAGATCGGCATTGCCAGCCTCACCGAGACGGCGCTCGCGCCACCAGAAGTACCCGCCCTCAACGAAGATGATGGCCGTCAGGAAGGTGGCAATCAGGAAGGGCATCCAGAGCATCGGCGGCGACACGGTACTGATGAAGTAGGCCGTGATGGCGGAGCCGATGCACTGGAGCAGGACCATCGGCAGGGAGAGGGACCCGATGGACTTGAGCTTCCAGGTGGTGTAGATTTGCGGGCACCACTGGGTGAGCTGGCCGATGGCGGACCCCAGGACAAGGATGCTGCCGATGGTCTGGGCCGCGGGGCCATAGATGTCGAAGGCCCAGGCAAGGACGGCGACCGTGGTGAAAACTGCGATCTGCGTGTGGGGGAGAGGCAGATGGGGGCACATGTGAGTGGCGTGGCGGAGAGAAAAGGGGAGGGGAGGGGGGG